AACAATCTTTTTGTGTATATGGCTATACATTCATATTTACTTGGTCAGTTGTGATAACCCCCCCTCCCCCAATATACTTTATATATAGGAAGGGCCCTATAAAATATTTATACATGTTTTTCTATGAATTGAAGGATAGAAAACTATTTTCATAGTAAAGTTACTACTTTGTTCTTGAATGAAATCTCTTCATCATGCCAGGGTCCTGTGGCTTAATTGTAGTCCTATCTATACAATAATGGAAAACAGTGGGTTTTAACTAGGGGCTAGCCCTTTCTGAATTGGGAAGATTACTCTTCACCATTCTTAAATAAATACAAGCTTCCTTTATCTTGGATGTATTTTGCTAGACAAAACCAGTCTTTTTTCCTTGAAGTAATCACAACTGATATAAGGGTATGCATCTGTCTCACAGACTGAGATTCTGATCTATAACCAGTAGAGATGGAAAACTCTTGTATAATTTGTATAGTGTGGGTTATAAGGGTAATTAGTTGCATATTCATATATTGTACTCTTCTTTTTTCTTACTGTTTTGGGATGGGTACTAGTAAGGAACTGGACTCTGTCAGTCACTGCTGATCATTGACTCACCTAATTTTTTTTTTATGAATCATCATTGATTAATTTGGTGTTCTACTCTTCCCAGACTTGTGGGTTACGTTTTCACACAGAATTACCTGTTAAAAATATTTTATGCCTATTTTTGTTTAAATGTTGTATTGACTAAGGAAATTTAAAATGTTATGGGGTTTTTTTGGGGAAAAAATGACAGGTACTACACAGCCTACAACAGTGGTTCTCAACCTTTCTAATGCCGCGACCCCATAATACAGTTCCCCATGTTGTGGTGATCCCCAACCACTTATACATCACCGGGTGCCAGGGGCGTGGCCAAAGAAAAGGGGGAAAAAATGGCGGACAGCCTTGTTTGGCGACCCCCGTGAAATGGTCGTTCGACCCCAAATGGGGTCCCAACCCACAGGTTGAGAACCACTGGCCTACAACTATGGCAGCATATAAGCCTAATGATCCTTGTGATGTAAAATGGGTATGAAGATGGAGAACTTTCAGTTTGGGTTTACAGAAGACAACTGGGCAAACAAAGAGGACCAAAGCATTCATTTTCAAAAGATTCTTGCAAAATAAACAATACAGGACAGTTAATATATTGTATCTCCTGAAATATTGGAAGAGTATAGGAAATGTTGACCTTCAGAACTGGCATAATAAATACCTTGAATGCATAAAGATGAATTCTGTTGTTTAAATTCAGAGGTGAAAAATTTTGCTGTCTTGTGACAGATTTCAGGAACTGTCATGAAAGCTTTTAAATGTTAATAATTTATCTGTGGAATGATCCTTTATTCATATTATAATATAATATGATATTGGGGAATATGAATGTGAGTAGTACATTCCTTTTGACATATGTCTGACTGATTTTATTCAGTCCTTCAGTTATTGAGTAGCTGCAGTTAAGATATTTAAATTTTCCTAAACAACTTGAGCATGAACACTTTTTATAGTACCATACATTATTTCCAATGTAGAAGTGTTTGCATTAACATGCATCAGTTCCATTTGACTTTTCTGGTTTACATTGCTGCTTACATGTTTATATATTTTCTGAATAAATAAATATGCTGCCTACCCCCTTAATTATTTTGGACACCCTATAGATAAAAAGATCTATATAAATAAGTGTGCTTTTAGATTTCTGCTAAAGTTTTATTTGCTTGAAACTGCCCTTTAAGCCATAGTCCACAAATTTATATGTAATACAATATGTTTAAATACAGGTAGTTTTGGACTTATAACGACATTTGGGATTCACAATTACATTTGGGACCAGACTGTCAGTTGTTAAGTGAGATATCACATGACTGACTGACCAGTTATCACAAGTCTGGCATTCCTCATTACAGTTTTTAAGTAATCTTGCATGTTATTAAGCAGACAGATACTCAGGTAAGGAATAGGAATTGCCTCAGGGAGGTGGGGGAGACCTGCCACAGACAATTTTGGAATGTCTCTCCAAGCTGAAAATCTTCCCTGTTGAAAACTCTTCAGCCAGAGCTGAAAGAGGCCTTTGACAAAATCCAAACCAGCCCCCAGAGGCAAGAGGGAGTCCTCTCTGCAGGCAGCAGCTCCTTGCAATTTTTCCTGCTTGCTTCCCCTATGACTTTCTGGGGAAACCTGGAAGAGAAAATTGCAAAATGTGATCACATGATTGCAGGGCACTTGGCTACCTATGGCAGGTGGGAATAAGTTGTCAAGCACTCGGATCACAATCATGAGGTGTTTGTGTGTAATGTTTTGTAATAGCTGGAAGTTCCTTACGGGCCATAAAGCACCTTTTCTGAGGCTGTCTTTCATTTGAACTGTGGTTAATAAAGTCGGAAGGCAAGGCCTGCCTTTATTGCACAAGACCTTGTTGTCGCAGCTGGAATTAATTTTTATGGTTCTTTTTATTTTTCTATTGGTTAGAATGGGAAAACTAGACTTCCAAGATGCTTACTAGAAGAGATTTAAGAGACTTAAAAAGATAAAATGTGTAACAGTTAAACACGCAACAGGTTTTGGAAGTTTGTGATAACTTCTCACTGTGTTACATAAGCTGAACAGCAAATATCACAGGGTTTACCAAACGGAAGTTTGTTCTCAGTACAAATTTGCTAGGGTAAGCATTAATCAGTACTACTTTGTCACCTAGTAGTCATTCTCAATCATGAAGATTTCTGAAGACAAATATGATGCCAGATCTGACTGTAACTTTCCAGAAAAGTTAAGATTGCTAATTAGCAGTGTCAAAGTATTTTCAATTTGAATTTGAAACACTTAACTTTAAACACAAAAAATAATGTTTTGATCCTTTTAGAAACGTCTTATACTGAAAATAGTTTTTTGAGCTTCAACTTCTTCCAAAATGATCTACTGGTAAGTATGCTGTCTTGAGATGAAAAAAAATTAGTTTTACATTCAAAATGGGCCTGTTTCCCATGCTCTGTGCCGTTTTAGAAAATAATAATAACAACAACAATAATTAGGCAGCCTTGCTAGGAACTGCTTCTACGACGATATCTGTAGTACCATCAAACATCCACATCTGCCTATCCCAGGTCCTGGGTAAGGACTCGATAGGTAGACAAAAATGCCAAATCCAGTCTGAACATCTGGCTGACTGTGCGATGATCAACAATGTAATAATGTATTTGCCACCTATTTCTCTGTGGCACTACTCTAGGCAGCTCGCAAACATAAAAAAAATGAAGAATTAAAAGTTTAAACAAGCAGAAGTAGAATAATAAAATAAACAATGCTATGATTATGGACTGAGTCATTGCTGCCAAGGTTTTCCCCTGGTATTGTTCCAGTTATAAAATGGATAATTTTGTAAAGTATTTTCTCAAAAGGGCAGAGGGTTCCTTTCTGTATTTTTTAAAAAAATTCTTGGCTTTTAGCTTTGCATGAAAGAAATGTAACAGTTTGTCGTGTTTGTGGGGATTAAGGATTGTTCAGCATTATGTTCTTACTGGTTAGCCCAACTTTGAGATTTATCTTCACTTTTTAATGGGGATAAAGATCACAGTCTTTTACGGTCCCACATTTATCATAATATATGTTACACTAATTCAGTTGCTTAAGGTTAATATCAGATTGGCTAACTCACCCTTCTCATTTGCAGTTTGACTGCAACAGATTTTTTTTACCTTTGCTTTGATCTGAAGCATCCCAGTTCAGATTTTTTTTCTCTCTTTCATATAATTGGCACAGTTCCCAACTTGTCCTCTATGTAGATAGAATTGCTTGTATGCTCTTTTTAATAGTGTTTCAGGAGCAGCTGTTTAATGCTGTGTAAATAAGAGATTCTTACACTCACCGAGAAATAAAAGTGGCTAAACATGGATACTGGTTTCACTTATTTGCTCTTTTAATATGAAAATACATAGCAAAATAGTACAAAGTTGAAACACCAAATTATTCAATTATTTCTCATTGGCAATTGTTTAGCTAGCCAAGTAGAATCCAGTTATCCCTTTGGTCCTTGGTTGAAGTCTGTGAATGTAAATACATGTGAACTGTATCAGAGAAGTTAAATTCCTTGAGCATGATTTTCTTGTATCTTTTTTTTGAACATACATACACACACCCCTGTATGCTCATAAAGTATTATTTTCTTATAGTACAGTGTCATTTCTGTTAGTGCTGTAATCACAGCATGGTAATGGTAGTAATATAGTTACCAGACACTGAGAGGCTAAGGTGTACGATGGGATAAAGCTACATTTTAATGAGCTGGAAAATAGTTGCATAGATTAGAAAATTGATTTTATTACAGATTGTCTAGCCCAGCGGTGGAGAACCTTTTAGAGACCGAGTGCCCAAACTGCAACCCAAAACCCACTTTTGTATCGCCAGGTGCCAGGTGGGCGTGGCCCACTGGGTAGGCGGGGCTGTGGTGGTCATGGCAAACTGGGTAGGTGTGGCCAAGGTGGGCGTGGTCACCTTGGTGTTGCTCATGGGGAGGGACGCCTGTTGGGGCCGGACAGGGTTGGGGGAGATCCAGGGGGTCTCTGGCAGGTGAGATGGTGGGCAGGAGGCTCGTCCTGCGGGGTGAGGCGAGGCAAGGCAGGGGTGCCATTGTCGCAGGGCAAGGCGGGCAGGGGCCAGGGCGGCTGCTGCCTGACACCATCGACCCCCACACACCGAGGCCAGCGAGCGCATGGGGGCCGACAGTGTCCGTCAGCAGCCCCTCAACTGGTGCATTCTGGGGCTCCGCAGCCCGCCACCAGCAGTTCAGAGAAGCCACCTCTGAGCTGGACGGTCGGCCGACAGCTGAGGAGGCAATGCAGTGGGTCATGCCCTGGAAAAGGAGAGCATGAGAGACCAGGAGGGATGAAATGGGGGGGGGGAGGGAAACCAGCCATGCTGGGATGCATCTGGCCAAATGATCACGTGACTGCAAAGGTCATGTGAAAAACTATCATAAATCCTTTTTCCAGTGTTGTAATTTTGAACAGTCACTAAACAAATGTTTGTAAGTCAAGGACTACCTGTATCTCGGGGAGAGTTTCAAGATGCTGTTACCCAAGTTTTATCTCTGTCTCATCTTACACTAAACAGTAATGGCAGGATTGCTTTGAGTTTCTTTCTCACACTTCATTCAGCCTCTGAATTGTGTAATCTTTTCTGCAAGTTCCTCCTTAACAGTTATTTCATATATTTCCCCAAGGTGCTTTCCATATTCCTTTACAGAGGAGAAAGGAGGTGGGTCAGGGACCTTTGCTCTTCCTGCTTTTCCTTTGAATTTGATCTGCTGGATGCTTTTGCCCGTCAGCTTTCAAGTCTCATAAAATATGGCAGCTTGCATTTGAAGAGTTGGACATGCTGACTTAGTGCCGTAGGCCTTTTCAAATCCGTGCCTCTGTTATCCATCTCATGCCTGTTCTTCAAATTCTTCATCGTTCAAGGTGGTGAAAGGTTTTCCAAACATCTCTTGAGGTAAATGCCTTGGTAATTCCTTACAGTTAGTACAGTTAAATCAGTGGAACAGCTTGCCTTCAGCGGTTGTGGGTGCTGCATCACTGGAGATTTTTTGAAGAGACTGGACAGCCATTTGTCCAGAATGGCATAGGTCTCCTGCCTGAGCAGGGGGCTGGACTAGAAGACCTCCAAGGTCCCTTTCAACTCTTATTATTCTGTAAATGAGAATTTCCTAGGCAGTCCATGGAAATATTTTATTCAGTTTAGTATTCAGCATTTACCTAACCCTAACAGTGCTTTTTGCTTAAACCTGAAGATATGAAGAAAAAAAAAAAGGTAAACCATGGCAACTGGACCAAAGTTTACTAAAACCGAGACGTTTCATTACTCATCCAGCTAGCTTCTTCAGTCAAAATGAAAATTGTGGGTAGGCAGAGTGTTGTCTCGTTTTGAATAAACTTTGGTCCAGCTGCCATGATTTAACCCTTTTAAAAGATACTTTTGGCCTGGATGATTTACACGTCAAACCTGTAGAGGTAGTAGATTTTAATAAGTTCAGTTGTAATGAAAAACAGGATCTCATGGTAGGGGAACACCCTCCTCCTTCTCAAAGAAGGTAGTATTAAAAGCAAGCTTCCAAAGGGTGGGGGGGAAAACACTCAGAGAAGCTAAGCTAAGTGCTGATTTGAGGAGGGTGGAGGGAAGGACACATACAGGAAATAGAAAGAAGAACAGCTTATAAGGGAAGGCTATAAAGGAGGAGAACGAATAAATAACCTGGACTGTTGAACTGGTATCAAAGTGCCACCTTGAAGACTGTGTCCAATTTTCAGCCTTGCACTTTAAGAAGGGTTCAGAGAAATTAGAACAGATTGAAGATTCATAAAGGAGATGGATGAACTAGAACAGGAGTAGGCAACCTTGGCTCGTTTATGACTCGTGGACTTCAACTCCCAGAATTCCTGAGCGAGCCATGCGGAGGGGAAAGGGAGGTTTCCAAGCTGAGCTGTGCTGGCTCAGAAATTCTGGGAGTTGAAATCTGCGAGTCATAAAAGAGCCAAGGTTGCCTACCCTGGCCTAGAACTTTAAAACCTAAATTCTATGAAGAGGGATTTAAGGAGCTGGGTACAGGGAGTCCTCGACCTAATGACCACAATTGAGCTCCAGATTCCCATTGCTAAGCGAGACAGTTGTTAAGTGAATTTGGCCCCATTTTACGACCTTTCTTGCTATAGCAAGTGAATCCCTGCAGCTGTTAAGTCAGCCACACGGTTGTTAAGTGAATCCAGTCTCCCTGTTGACTTTGCTTGTCAGAAGACCGCAAAAGGGGAACACATGACCCCAGGACACTGCATAAATACGTGCTATTTGCCAAGCGCTCACGTTTTGTGCACCATTGGGATGCTACAACAGTCGTAAGTGTGAAAAATGGTCATAAGTCAGCTTTTCCAGCGCCACAGAAACTTGGAACAGTCACTAAACCATTGTAAGTTGGGGATTTTTAAAATTCTCCTTAAGAGACAGTTCAATAGCTCAAAGCTAATTGAGGTGACTTCAAGGTTATTGTTGGAAAGCCTGGAAGAAGGTTAGGGGACAGATCATCATGGACAAAAATGTGTTCACGAACCCTGGCTTAAGATGGTTGTTGTCCAGCAGATCAGGACTGCCCTACATTTCCTGGTTCATCTGGAATTAGACCAGGAAACATCATTCACATGGTTTGTCTCAAACAACCTCTGGCTTGTGTGAATACAGCCATTGGCCTATGTATTTTGTGGTAGCTCATTGATTGTCTTCACACATTGCACAGACCAGGTCCTCACTTAATATGATTTGTTTTAGTGTAATGTTATTGCATGAATACCACAAATTTTGCCAACCCGAATTTAAAGTTTACAGAGCTAAGCTTCAGTCTAAGCACTACAGTTGCTCTTTTATTTATTTTTTAAATGTCTGGACTACCAAGGAGTGTCAGGAAATAGCTTGAATAGCGGCATCTTCTCATAATTCTTGGGTTTGGGGGTGTATGCCAAGAACAAAGAACCCTCCTTACAAGGAGAGTCACCACATCTCCCAAATCTGCAGTGGGCTGGGGTTGGGAACAAAAAGGCCTTTGAGCTGAGAACTGAATAGAACCTTTTAAGTTCAGTCCTATTTCTCCCATGTTTGGGCTACTGGGACGCTATCAAATAGCAAAGCTCCCAGGATCCCATGTTTACTTCATTTCACTTGACAAATAGATGGAGGGATTCCTGTGAAAATACAACAGTTAAAGGGCTGTCGAAGGAAACCGTAGCTTTTGGCCTTCTAGTAGTGTTTTGCTTCTCCTGAATCTTTACAGCAGGGGTTCTCAACCTTGGCAACTTTAAGACTTGTGGACTTCAACTCCCAGAATTCCTCAGCCAGCAAAGCTGGCTGAGGAATTCTGGGAGTTGAAGTCCACAAGTCTTAAAGTTGCCAAGGTTGAGAACCCCTGCCTTAGAGGTTTGTAGAATGGTGCCTTGTACATAGCTCCAGTGAGGCTGAAAGGAAGAGATAGTCTTTACAGGTGGTACTCAAGTTACAGCGATTTGTTTAGTGACCATTCAAGCAGAGCTGAAACTTACGTAGCTTATTTCCATTTTTCACACTGTCGACCATTGCAGCCTCCCCATGATCACGTGATCCAAATCTGGAGGCTTGGAAATTGACATGTACTTACGACAGTTGCAGTGTCCTGGGACCATGGGATCCCCTTTTGGGAGCTTCTGACGAGCAGAGTCAATGGGGCAGCGAGATTCACTTTAACAACCCGGGTTACAAACCGGCAGCTGCAGTGTTTCACTTAACGAGTGCGACCGGAAAGGTCGTAAAATAGAACAAAACCCACATTCGCTTAGCCACGGGAACTTTGGGCTCCGTTACAGTCGTAAACCAAAAACTCTCCGTAGTACAAAATTGGGTTGCAACAGGAAGACAGTCGAAAGTTCATGCTTCCTGCACAAGATCAATTTCACCTGGAATAAGTGAAAGTACATAAGTTCCCTACGTCCGGTTAGATCCCACAGGCTGGGCCTCCTTCGGGCCCCGTCGGCCAGGCAGTGCCATTTGGCGGGGCCGCAGAGGAGGGCCTTCTCTGTGATGGCACCCACGCTTTGGAATCAGCTCCCCCCGGAGATTAGGACCGCTCCCACCCTGTTGGTCTTCCATAAGCTACTTAAGACCTGGCTTTTCCGGCAGGCCTGGGGTTTATAAAACCTGACCCCTGGATGATTGTTTTTGTATTGTTTGTTATGTTTTACGTGTTTTTTATTGTTAGCCGCCCAGAGTCCTTCGGGAGTGGGGTGGCTTATAAATTTTAAAAATAAAATAAAATAAATAAGTAGCATAAGTAGAAAAAAATATTGAAAATTAAATGATTTAATGACTAAAAATCTAAAAAGGAAGCATATGGGCAGGAAGTCGAGGATGGAAGCGGGATGGAATGGTTCCTTAAACAGGAAGAGCAACTCAAGGTGCAGTTCAGGGGGTGGGGGGGGATCCTTTCCCAGTGTTTCTGTCCTTCATTGCATCAGTGAGAGACTTCCCTTTGGCTCTTTCTCGTCTCTGTTTCTTGCTCTCTCTGGTCTAGCTTCATTTTCTTTGGTTTGACTGGGCCGCGTGCTTTGAAAGTAGTGAGCAGAAAGGAGGCTGATCCACCTCTTCTCCCTGGCGGGCCTTCCCTGTGGAGCCTGGTTTATACTGAGGGATGCCCTGGGCCAGGCTGGGCTAGCCAAGATAAACTTAAAGCTGGAGGTATATTCTGAGCTGTTTCAGCCTAGAATAGTGGTGGCAAACCTATGGCACGGGTGCCAGAGGCGGGTGGTGAACCTATGGCACGGGTGCGAGAGGCGGGACTCAGAACCCTCTCTGTGGGCACACACACTGTCGCCCCAGTCCTAGGCCTTCAGCTGGGTTTTATAAAACCTTTTCGCTTTAGGTCTCCGCCGCTGTGTACCAAAAAAAAAGGTTCAATCAATCAGTCAATTTCAATTTCTCGCGGGGGAAAAAAAAGATCTTGCAAAGTTGGAATTGATTGAACTTTTTAGTCCCACCCAGTCTGCTGTTACCACTGCAGCCACGCCCACCCAATGGGCCACACCCACCCAGCACCCGACGATGCATAAGTGGGTTTTGGGTTGCAGTTTGGGCACTCGGTCTCTAAAAGGTTCGCCATCGCTGGCCTAGAAGGAGGCATAACTGGACAGAGGCTTTAAAAATACTGCATTGGGTAGAGCAGTGGTTCTCAACCTGTGGGTCGGGACCCCATTTGGGGTCGAACGACCATTTCACGGGGGTCGCCAAACAAGGCTGTCCGCCATTTTTCCCCCCTTTTCTTTGGCCACGCCCCTGGCACCCGGTGATGTATAAGTGGTGGGGGGTCACCACAACATGGGGAACTGTATTATAGGGTCGCGGCATTAGAAAGGTTGAGAACCACTGGGGTAGAGAGAGCAAAATTCTATCATAATATGTTATTTAATTTATATCCCACCTTTATTACTTTATAGATAACTCAAGGTGTGGACACATATAATACCTCCTCCTCCTCCTTTCTCCACAGCAACAGCCCTATGAGGTTGGTTGGGCTGACAAAGGGGGACTGGTGCCTCAGATGGCTTTCATGGCTAAGGCAGGAATAGAACTCAGCGTCTCCTGGTGATTGGCCCAAAGTCACTCAACCAGCTTTCCTGTCCACGGTGGGACCAAAACTCCCCGTCTCCTGGTGATTGGCCTAAAGTCACCCAGGTGGCTTTTGTGATTAGGGCAGGAGTAGAATTCACTGTTTCCTGGTGATTGCCGAAAAACTACCCAGTTAGGTTACATTCCTAAGGCAGGACTAGAACTCACTGTCCCTGGTGATTGGCCCAAAGTCCACCAGCTGGCTTTTGTGCCTAGGGCAAGACTAGAATTCACCATCTCCTGATGATTGGCCAAAAATCACCCAGCAGCCTTTTGCGATTAGGGTGGGGCTAAAACTCATTGTCTCCTGGTGATTG